ATAAAAATAAATTATTATTAACGCATAAACAAGTAATTATAATTTTAATAACAGATTCATGATTGATGTTTGCGCGTAAAATATGTGTAGCCGAGTAATTTTCATTTCATTTAACATTTTCTGTATAATATAATAGGCGGTGTAAAGGCTAGACTATCTAGGCAGGTTCTGCGAAACGCGTGTGCCTCTTAATTGTAGCGGCAGGTGTGGGGGCATCTGCCGCCTGCTGGACTTGCACACTTAATACTTTATTTTTTTACAACGTGTGTATTGCTGCAGACGTTGTCCACTGACGCGACGCATTGAAAAATTTCGCGATAGCCACTAACGAAAGTAGCCATGTATCGTTGGAAGGTAATTCGTTAAATATACGATGTTGCGGTAAAAGTCAACGCGCTTGCCTGCACGTCCGTCAGTACCGCGCCACTGCAGCTGCTAACAACGATAGCTTGTTATTCAAGTTCAATATATTTACAATAAAATGTGCACTAAGTTCAGGCTACTTCTGCTTGATCATGGTCCTTGAAATGCTCAAATATGTTTTCTGTTCTTCTGTTTGGACAAAGAATGTGTTGTGAAAGAAGGGTACGATGATCCCGGGCCCCGGGCCGGCGCGGCGGGTGCGCGGAGCCCTTACCTGAGCCGCACTAGGGGCTGCTCCCCGGCACATTGTCGGGTAAAAAAACTGAGTAGGGTCGGCGCACAAAAGAGCTCAGACCACCCTACCAGGTACCTTTGTACGCCGTCTGTTACTCTAGCGAGCGGACTGCCTTGCCTACATTCCATGCCTTTTATATTTTTGACGACAATCAGTTTATACTTTACGCTATATCTAAAACTATTAGATTGCAGTACAATATTTGGCATAGAACCGATAGCACATTATAAAGTTAATATCAGTATACTTTTAACAAATCATATTATGAACGTTATGCAAAGATCTTCTTAAATATATGAAGGTTTAATTGTGAATGAGAATAAACCTGATCCAGTCCAAGTCTACATTGGATATAGATAGCAATTTATTGGAAGATTTGTTCATAATAAAACTTATCACGCTCCTAAACACAATAACAAATGTATTTATTATAATAAATCGTTATAATAACGCTTTCCATTAGTTTTCCGTGGAGCGCATAAAGCGTCTCAGCTTACGGTACTTGTGGTAGTTAGAGAGCGGCGCCGCGCAGCTCCGCCTGCCCGAGCAGCGCCCACGCACCATTGTGCTGCCTCACATCCGCGTCTACACGCCTACCTCGCCACGTACACGTACACGCGTACACCCAAACACCGGCCATGCTATGCTTTCAGACACCACCGCCCGCTTCTATTCTTCAGTTGTAGTAGTCAACATAAGAACTATAGACTGATGTCGTTTCACAAACATTTAAAAAATAGACGAGATATAAAATGTCACTGTCATTGCGAACGTTTCGAATACTAGCGATGGTACTTATTTATAATTTGCATTAAATATTGAATTTAATTAGTATTCTAACGTAAAAAGTGATTAGCAATTGTTGTACACGTAAGTACATTTGGAATGCAAGTGAGTAACAAAATTGTTTGTGTATTTGCAGGGCTCGGGCGGCGGGTGCGGCGCCAAGCGGCGCGCCGGCTCCCCGTGTGAGGGCGGCGGCAAAGTCGCGCGCTGGGAAGACTCGATCGCGCGGCTAGAGGCCGTGGCCGCCGGCGCGGGCGGCGGAGACTGCTGGCGCTCCGAGGAGGAGGAGCGGCGCGCGTGCCGCCGGCGCTGGTGTGGCGGCTGGTGCGGTGCGCACGACACCATCCGGGCCGAGAACGGCAAGTCCTACCTGGAGCTGGGCGGCGCTGCTGCGCGCGCCTGCTGCGACGGCCGCGCGGCGGGCCGCTGTGCCTCGCGCCGCTGCTACCGCGAGAGGCGGTTCAAAATGATGAATTTATGCGCGCTGAAACTGGCGCGCTTACGCCAGACGGCGGACCCTTCGTTGAGGCGCTCTGTGCTCGTCTGCAACACGTTACGCGGCATCGAGCGCGAGATGGAGCGCGAGAGTGCCGAGGAGGCGCCCTTCGAGCCGGCATGCGTAGCTGGTGGAGTAGCGCGCTGCGAGCTGTTGAGCTCTCGCGACCCGGCGGCTGGTCGTGCCACCCCCTTCCCTGCGCCGCCGCCGCCGGACCGAGACTCCGGCTACGGCGACGAAGAGCAACGCACCATCGACTGGGGCTCCGTACTGAGCCTGTCGTCGAGATCGGCGCTCGACCCCCCCGAAGACGCATGGCCCGACGACTGGGGCTGGAGCGAGGACAGCTTCGTGCGGCTGCTGGTGCCGACGAGTTAGTGCACGGCGCGCGGGCAGGACTCGCCCGCGCCCCACTGAGCGCCTGTGATAGCGCGGGCCGCGCCGCGCGGTGAGGCGGGCCGCGCGGCCGGCTCGCGCGTGCGGCCGCGCGGAACTCTAGTCGGACGCGCCGCGCCGCCCGGCGACTCGCGCGCCGACGCGACGCGACGCATACACGCAGTCAGTAGTTAGTATTATGTAATTGCAAAAGGGAAGGTGCTAGCTTCGGACGTGACGCAGGACTAAATGCGAGCCGAGTTATTTTTGATAGTTTTATTTTCTTTAAGTGAATTCCAATGAAAACCGAATGAAGAAGTGACTTAGCTAATGACGTTATTATCGTTTAAATTAAAACTCAGGTGTTTGAAATTTTGTTGAAATTATTATGTAATTAATTAGGTAAATAACTATATTTATTTCGTTGACCAGAAGAAGAAGAAGAAAAGTGACAATTTGAAATTATTTCTGTCTTGATATTTTCATTGCAAGATGTATCGGAACAACGAGTTTGACTTTATTTTCATGGATTATGTTGACTCGCAGACATGTTCGCGGCGGGGTGTGCTCCGAGCGGTAGCTGGCTCGAGACTGTCCTGGCTTCAGATTAGTTACTAGCGAGCCGTAGAGCTGGGAGCGCACGGCGCCGCGGACATGTCGACGTTGGTCGTATTAATAGTAATGTGTGGACATGTGCCGTTCGACAAGCGCGTCACTGCTGTGTTGTGCTAGTGCAGTGCGATGGTAATGCGAACAATCACGAACAAACTGTAATAGCTAGTACCTTAGTACTTAACGTAACTGATGAACTTTCATTAGTTCCACATCCACCACAGAGTCGCAGTGTCACTCGTAACTGGATGTCAATTAATAAGCCTTACCAGCTGTGACTATGAAAGTTTCATGATTACAGGAATCGTGCATTTGAATAATTGGAATTTGTAATACATGACTGAGCCATGGCTGTAGGTACTTAACTCATATTTCGGAATTGAGATTTCTGTCCATCGGTTCGGATGCCTTCTAACGATCCAGTCGTCTCTACTTAGCCGATAAGAAGTTTCATTTACACTTAAGCGAATTACATAAAACGTGTCATCGAATAGTTTATTTACTTACTCTATGTACTAACAGTGAACTGCAGTTCCTAATACGTAATTAAAACTAATTAGAGCAATCTTTAATTTATTCGAAACGTCTACCTTCTAGTTTTGTACTAAAGTTTTATTGTTAGGAGGCACCCGAACGTCAGATTAGGTTTTCGATAGCCAACAAATTAGTTCGTTGAAGGACTCTGTAAATGCATTGAGATTTGAAATGTGTAACAAGCAAATAATCAACTGAATAAATTGTGTGTAAATAGTGTAATAGTTGAACAACCCGTCGTTTCTAAACAGAGACTGATAACGAACAATGTCTTCGAAACCATACTGTGTGGACGAAATACTTGATGTGGCTGTTCTCTCATTAGTAACATCGGGTTGTGTAACGCTGTGCCCGGGCGCGGCTGGCGGCCGGCCGGTGGTCGGTCCTCTGTCTTCATACACTCTACCTACCTCTGCTACTCACACAGTCTCTGATCATCATTTCGTACTTAAGCAATCGGTTCACTCAGTACCATGATAACTTCACCGACCGCCACCCTCCCGCCAGCGCCAGCGCCCGCGATCCACGGACCTGTGACTGCATGGACCAAACATACCTAGCACGACTAAATAGAGCAAAGTACAAATTTCAATAATAAGATGCATTAGTGCTCCGGCGCATGTTTGTCCACCGTTGTCAATTACTCAAATATTTGAATTGTGATTCGGTAGCTAATGAGAGAAAACTCTATGTTCTTAAATTTAGTGTACATATTATATACGGAGATGGGCATTATGGCGTGGTGATCGCGCCCGTTGTAAATATATTATGTAAAGTAATAATTTTATTGATGTCGAATGTCGGGTAGCTTGTCATCGCTCGGCCTCGGTAACCCATGCCGCCGCCCTGTTGTATATTACGACCTCTATTCTGTCCAATACACTCAACAAGTACAGATATACAAGTTACATAATTATGCATTATTAATATAATAAGATGTCACAAAATTTTATCGCCAGTACAGACCAATATACATGAACAACGTTTAGTTATAATATTTTGGGTTCTAAACTCATAAGTGATGCACTGAGTAACTGAATGATCAGCTCAATCTATTTTATTTTATGGGTTATTTCATGTTAGATATTTTGTTGATGATGTCCGTATGGTTGGTTGTGATGGTTTACTTAAGTAAGTTAGCGACTCCGGCAAATTGCCATGTTTCACTCGTACCTACCTATTACATTTTACTCTATATTTGTACTAACATTTTTGAGACTGTCTTGTATTCCTGACGCACGTGCGTATGACTTAAATTTTGAAAGTACTTAAACCTAAATAGTCGAAGCTTTCAGTCATCCCTATAAAATATTTCAATTAGTGTAATATTTGTTTATGCTCGGGCGTCAGGAATACGAAACGATAAATGCTTGCAATATAATGTAGGTACAGAAACTTCTTATCCTGTCATTTTCATAAAATAGCCGACTGAATCTTCCAAGTCGGGTTGTCACTGAATGAATTTTATGATTGTATGTACGTCTTGATTGTAAAATTTTGTACAAAAATAAGTGGAGGACCCTTACCTTTAAATTGTATTTAATACTCCTTAACTGTTATCGTTTGTGTCGTGGGCACGGCCCGCTCGCTGCGCCGGCGCGCTGACGCGGCAGTAGTCGCGTCGCACGGCGGCGCCGCGGCGTGTCGCTCGCACGTGCGACTGAGTGTCGCGCGAGCAAGCTGCGCACTGTGTTGTGACCTCCAGCAATAATTATGATGGCAGGTAGACTCCTTGTCGCATCCGTCTTTACTCTGTTGCAAATGTTTCAAAGAAACATTGGCGACGTTTTCATACGTAACTTTACGACTACATTGTATAAGTGTATTTCCTTAGTGTTTTTCATTGCCATTGGTTACCAAAAATGACAGGATTTTTATTGAAACTATTGTGAATATATTTTAGAAAGAATACTCTCGTTAGAAAATTGAGAAAAGCATTTTGACGGGGCTCATATTGCACATCGAATTGTTAAATCGTTCCTCATGTTGGGAGTGTCTCAAAGTCGTTTCTCGATTTGTCTAATGTAAGATATATAATTGTAATATATTATTGTTTAAGCCGTTGTATCGAAAATAACAAGAACAGGAATAATTTTGTGAAACAATGGCACAAAGAATGAACATAAATATTATATATATTATAGAAACAGAAATGTGGCTATAAAAGCAATTTTTATAATAAATATTTACTGTTGAAGAATCTCAGAGTTTTATTCCTTTTTTCCTTTGTGATGACACGCGCAAGTGCTGGTATTTAACACAATATGATAAACGAAAAATTACATACATACCTATTGTCCACTACAAATATAGATGAACCCTCTCTGTATGAGAGATGGTGTTAATATAGGTGGTCCACCAGAGACCTGAATCAGAAGAGAAATTATAGCAATGTCTATATAATCATGTTACAAGTGTAAGTATGTAATATTCACAAAACTTCTCTAACTAAGTATCATATTTATGGCTCCAAACGATTACAAGCTTTTCACATATCGCGTGAGTTCCCACTCAAAAGCTTGCGAGCCACGCTTCAGCGGTAAAGGGCCGGCTCGCCCAAAGTGATATTACGGCCACAGAAAACCGGCGTGAAACAACTCTTACGATAAGTTTCACCGTTTAGGTGAGATTGTTGGCCTAATGATCTCCTAGTTATCCCCGATTCCATGATTGTTTAGACACCACTGACATACGGTGAAGGTAAACATCGTGAGGAAACCTGGACTAATAATTTCTAATTATAAGTTTGAAATCGCCAACCCGCATTGAGCAAGCGTGCTGATTAATGGAACCTTCTCCGTGTGATAAGAGGCCTTTGCTCAGCAGTGGGCACTTATAGGCTGATGAAGAAGAAGACTTAATCCCAAAAATCCTGGCAACGCACTTGTAACTCCCATAATATTCCGGGTGTCCATATACAATTGCTTATCATGTCCGTCTGTTCTTTTGTCATAAAAAAAACTTTGAGATTAACCATAAAAAAGGCTCTCAGCTACATATTACCGAGGACTTACTTTCAGGTGTAATTTTCAGTAACAACAAGGAAAGAATCGATTATCAACACTGGCTAATGGTTCGAAACGAAAAGGTATAATAGGATGTTTTAAAATGAAATAAGAATATTTTACTTAGCAGGTTGTTTTTCTATGCATGTTAGTATTGCAGGCAGCTAACAAAGTTAGGAATACTACATTGAAACTGCATTGGTATCACAATGCGTTGTTGCATGATGCACTGCGGAGCAACGACGCGGGCTGGATCTCTGCGGCACATAGTAATACTTCATTGTAAAGTGTTCCGTTATTTCTTTTAGGACTTTAGGTAAGTATGATGTGGCCTGCAGCCAACCAGTTAAAACAGCCCTTCCACCAATCAGCTAGTCTTTTGATTGCTTTACAATTCGAGCAACTGTTTGTCTACGATAAAGTTAAAAAGTACTGAAGATATTTTGATGAAGTTTTCACTAGTGGATTGGGCAATTAGATTTCTGTGCGGTTCACAGTTCTAACCTAACCAAAGCTACCTAGCTACCTTTCTGGTAGTGACTCGGTTTTCACGACAATCCATCAACCCAGTCTATATGAGAAATTTAACAATTTAATAAAATGGCTAGTCATTCAGTCTGTTAGTTGGATGGCTAATTCAATTATTTGGCTGCTACTTATTAGTCCACCCTTCAACATAGTCTAAATGAGAAATATACTATTTAATAAAATGGCTAGTCATTCAGTCCGTAAGTTGGATGGCTAATTCAATTATTTCGGTGCGACATATTATTATATACTTCACTCAGACAGTACGCGTAGTCATTCCTTTCCCGAATAAGATAAGGCCTTTGCCCTTTCGTCTTTGGGACATTGAAGCAACTAGAGGTCACTTCGGTACATGACACACAAACATGTAATATTACACCTGTAAGTCTTGGAAGACCTTGGCAGAGTTCTGTGTACACCCACGGTGCGCAGTTCTATGTTATTATGTCGTAAGTCCCAAGTGATAAGGTCCGATAGTATTACCATAGTTTTGGATTGGACTATATTCCCTTCGTTGAGACATGAGTGGCTTTGATCACCTGATTTGATCGGCGTATTAACATTTTTTTTTAAATATCTAGATCGATAATGTTTGGTGAATGCCATATGAATGATAAAATACGGTAATGTCATCTTTATGCCCTAAAATTTCATGAAGCAAATTTATTAATATGTAGGAATTTCCTATCGTTTCCAAATTTTGTATGGTGTCCAATAATAATCTCTTCAATCCAAATCCAAATTAATATTATGAATGCGAACGTAACTCTGTCTGTCTGTCTTTTCTTCATGTTTAAACTACTGAAACTATTTGTGTAAAATTTGGTACAGATATAGTTTGGAATTCGAGAAAGGACATAGAGTAGTTTTTATACTAAAAATCACTATTCCACCCGAACAAAGTCGCGGGCAAAAGCTAGTAATACAATAATAATTTAACTTAAATAAAGAGGATCGTTCTCAAGTTTTTACCCAAACATAGTACTTACATAGTTTAATCAGTTAGTCTACGATGAGGGCAATAATTGCTTAAGCCAAATTTAACGAAAAAGACGTTACGAAATTGATGAATTTAAATATATGTTATTGTTTTGATACTTGCATTTTTAGTCGAAATTATTTATTTTTAGCAGAAAAAATGATTCAATTAATACTGACGTTGCAAATGCTATTGAAGAATTCAAGAACAAGGAGACACTATACACAAGACTAATTACTACTAGACTCATTTATAATCGTAATTTAGATATTTAGTTAAAGCAAGTGTGTAGATCAATACTGATCAACAATGGCTGCACGATTGGCGCAGTAGCTGGGCGACTGGCTTCCGTGAAACGTGTCGCGGATTCGATTCCCGCACGGAACAACCCTTTGAACTGATTCGCAATTGTTGTATAGGGTTGGGGTGGCCCTCACATATTTATACATACACCAGTATGTGAAAATATGTGAGGGTAAAAAAAAAAGTAGCCACGTTTTTTTTTAAGTAAAAGAAAACAAAATTCTAATTCTTTCTTCGGTGATAAAATCTCTGGCTTGATGTGGTTACAGTTGACTATAGCCTGATTAATAATTATTATTTTATTTTTACGATGTCTCAAGTCAGGTCTGCAGTTTCCCTTAGTATTTCTTCTTGTAGTAGTATTATCATTGTCCTATTCACTCGTGAAAACCGCATGAAAAACTGTTCAGTACTTTTTGAGTTTAAGACAGATAGCCAGGTAACTTTGATCAAACCTAGCTTCCTAAGTTCGACTCCTCCATTTACGTTAACTTAAAGCAAAAAAGTTCTTGATGTTGTTTGTCCAGGAACACGAGTGACCACAAATTGTCCTTGGAGTCATATACTTTCTAACATGACTATGACTGACTCATGGCTGTCCCAATCAACTGCCAACTTATTAATACCGCATTGTACTGCAAAAACTTTAAAAGATTATCATCAGCCCATTTCCTTGCATTGCTGAACAATCACGCCGCTGAAGTCGATCTTATATTGATGCACGGTTGGTGCGGTGGCTGGGCAACTAGCTGCCGTGCAACGTGTCGCGGGTTCGATTACGCTCGGAACAACACTTTGTGTGGTCCACAAATTGTTGTTGACATTGTATGTTTGTAAACGCACCCACAACACTAAAGTGGGGCAAAGCTTCTTAAAATGAAGAAAAATAAAACAAAAATAAAGATCTTCAGCTCTTCGCACCCAACGACTGCCCAGCCACTTATCACCGCCGTGACACAACCACAACGTTGTGTTTCGCCGTCTGTGTGAGGTTACTGGAGGCCTAATCCTTCTTCCCCTCCCCAATCCCTAAATCTCCGAAACCCTAAACCTCAATAGGCCGGTAACGCACTTGTAGCTCCTCCGTATTTGGGGATGTCTATGGGCGATATAGATTGCTTACTATCAGGTAAGTGCTATGTCTCTCAGGGTCGTGGTGGCCCTGAGGTTAACGCTTCTCATGCATGAGGGTGTGGATTCGAAACCGGGCAAGTACCAATGTGACTTTTTCCGAGTTATATGTACTTTCTATCATTATTTAAACACCAATGACATACGGTGAGGGTAAAAATCGTGAGGAAACCTGGACTTAAAATTTCCAATTATAAGTTTGAAATCGCCAACCCGCATTGAGCAAGCATGGTGATTAATGCTCAAACCTTCTCCGTGTGAGAAGGGGCCTTTGCTCAGCAGTGGGCACTTATAGGCTGATGATGATGACTATCAGGTAACCGTACGCTTGGTTGCAGTCCTATCACATAAATAATCTAAAGGTTGACATAGCATTTGAACAATGTGATATATGTTTTTCCCCGAGCTGATAGGCCTAATGTAACGTCACTGGCACTTTTCCCGTATTTCAGCTTTGTAATATGACTTCTGATATAGAGTTTTTTTATGGTATAACTCGGCAAACGAGCAGATGGGTTACCTGATGGTAAGCAATCGGCGCCGCCCATGGACACCCGGAACACCATAGGAGTTACGAGTGCGTTGCCGGCTTCTTGGGGATAGGGGTTGCGGATATAGGGATCAGGAAGGAATACGGAAAGGGGACTGGAGTAAATAAAAATTAATGTATTAGTGTTTCAGAGTAAAGCTTCTGCACAAATGTGATACTATGGCCTTATCGAAAACCGGAGGAGAACAACACACATTGTGTTTCTCCGTGTGAGTTACCGAAGGCCCAGTCCTTCCCCTAATCACCGATTCTCAAATCCCTAAAGGGTGGTAATGCACTTGTCACAGCAACTCCAGAGAATTACGAGAGACCCTTTGACTAAGCTTTATTATAAAATTTGACACTAGATTGTTTTTCTTGTAGCAAAAATCGACGTCTAACAGCATAGACACAAATTAATGTGATCTAACAGCTCACCGATTCAATAGTTGCAAAAACTGTAACAAATTCTATTAGTTTTCTAGTGTAAGTAATATTTGAACAAAGTATAATTTTGTTTTTAACCTAAAAGGAGGAAAATTATCAGCATTTGTCATATATTTTGACGTTGTAGTCATCATTATTCGGTTTTCCGAGTGTTTGAAATACAGAAAACCATTTTTGTAAGGTAAAAGTAACAACCTAAGTATGAAGGGAAAAGTTTAATATCCTGCAAACGTTTGTGAGTAAATATATATACTAAGTATGTATCAAAGTAAATAAGTAGGTAGACAAAATAAAACACTGCTTATCTACAAACTTGCAATTTCGGCAAGAGATAAACAAAGATAGTACTTAATATTACAAAAAGATATTATAATGAATCTATTTAATAAAGGTTTTTCAATAAAACTCATAATTAAAAGTAGCCTGTTTATATCTAAGTATATTCACAATAACAATAAGTTTAAAAGCTATAAAAAATAATTCTACGTTTTAGCGCTGCGCTCGCTCGAATGAAGTTTCTCCCCTCGTTTCGTACGCCTAGCGACATCTATTGATAACGTTTAGAACTAGCTCTGTACAATATAGGCATTGGTTTTGCTTTCTTATTTTTTCAAATCTGTGACTGCTTGGACTCCATGTAATGTTCTTTTATGCTTCCACATGTCACCTGATCGCCTGGAAAAACAAAGATTTTTAGAAGAAAATTTGTCGAAGTGGCTACAAACTGGTTACCTCGATGACTGAGCGGTTGCAAGCTTCTGTCAAGAGAAAGGTCTGGGATTCTATTTCGAAGTTTTATTTGCTACTGCAAATTCAAATAATTCAAATGTACTCCTTGTGTCCTATATACAAAGGTACTCCTTTGTACCTCTTTTATGAAAATAAGTATGTATCGTGTTTAAATGTGTAATATTTTGTCTGCATAAACAAATAAACATTATAGTCTTAAGCTTAACAAACAACCTACTCAATATTAGAAGATAGGCACTAAAAAACAATTATTATTTTAACATTCTATCTAGTATCCATGTAATCTTAGTTAATCTTTTAAAATGCGTAAAATATAAATAGGAACGTACAACACGCGATTTGTAAAAGTCAATTAATTCGTTATACATATTACTAGCTCAGTTGAATGAAAAGCACTACATACCTAGCTACGTATTTGAAGATTTATATTGTATCCTCCAAAGAGGTAAGTATATATAGGTATATAAAATGTTACACGTAGAGTTGCCTGCCCTACACATAAAAAAATAGGATGCAGGTCTCTAATACGTCAAGCGAGCAAGGGCAGCCGCTTGTTCGTAGCGTTCAGACTCCACTACAGACGGGACCCTACTGGGCCGAAGTTCAGTAGGGGTTGCGGGGTACCGCGGCCTTGGCTAAGGCAGGAGAAGGAACGGGGTTTGGAGAGTTTAGACTCGGACCTCTACGCCGCATATCAAAATTTATCCGTCACTAGCCTCTCCAATAGAGAGAAGAGCAGCAGTGGCCCTATTTCTTACATAGAATCGGAATGTGAACTAAAATATCTCTTGCTGACTGATCACCTGGCTGCTGCGCAATGAGGATGTCGATCTATTGCAGCACACAACATCTTTTTATATGACCAACTAATTGTTGTTCCGAGTGTGTTGGACTGGGTGAATGTAATTTGGACGTTTACAAAAATACCTATAACACAGGGATCAATGGATACACGCTTTCCTTAGAACCTAATAACTAAATGCTGTCTTAAAAGAGTTAAAAGTCATGCTTAACGTTGTAGCGAAGAAGAATTTCTTATGATATTTTTTTCCTCACTACAGCGAACTTGAAAAAGATGGGGAGATACGCATAAGGATAAAGGTACGATGCTAAGTCCTTACCCGCGTGTTGCGAGTGCAGGTAGAAACGGCACAAGAACACAAATCATTTCGGTCTTAGGTAGGCATTGAGGTGGGTTCGTTTTTGTCATTCTTTGCTTACCCTTCTTGTATAAGTTATAGCGTGAAGGTGAAGGTTTTAAAGTTTAGGGTTCGTACTTTGTCTTGTTTAGGTAAATCAGTCAACTATTATGATCAGTGATAAGGTTGATTTTGCTTTAACACAAGGTTATTATTTTAAGCACTTTTTGAGTCTTCTTTGCCGAACGTTGAAGAAGCGTCTCAAGTAACTTGTCAAATAATTACTATTCGGGGTTAATTAACAACTTCATGAACTGTCCGTCTTCATTCAACTTGATATTTATAGTATGCCTAATGTAAACAAAATGTGTTTTGCTTTACAATATTTGAGTTTTTGTAAGTATTGAGACCGTTTGTATCATTGGGATACAGCTCCAAAACTGTCTGCTATAATTTGCATTTAAGACACAACGACGGGATTAAAATAAATAACGCGAAAATAGATAACTATATAGAACAAACCATTGTCTCTTCTTTATACATATAGGTAGGTAAAGAAAAGCTGAAAGCGTCTAGGTAATGCTAAATAAATTCCATCTCTATAAGATATATGCGCGTCAAAATACTGACTAGAAAAGTCTTTATTCAAAAACATGAACCAAAACCAGAGATTGGTCAATCTTAAATAGCAATTCGAGTAAAATGGAAGGTCAGGGATATTTTATAGTACCTATACTGGTTTTAAAGGCAAAGTACAAATGTTCAAGTTTACCTGAAGGCTGTTCCACATATATCGCACTCATGAGGTTTTTCTCCAGTATGGATGAGAGTGTGCACGGTGCGAGCATACGGTCTTCTGAACGCTGCACCACAAATGTCACAGCGGTATGGCCTGCAAGAAGGATATGACTGAGTCTAGGGCAGGGTCCAAAGGCGGATGTCATTATGTAGGTATCAAGTCCTAAGTATATGAATGCTAAGAACGAGCTATTTTTATTAAGGGGAGGGGATCATGTAATGACTCTTTTCGACGGGTGGGGCGCGTGAAAGTTGATTGAGGTGAGAATGAGATATCAGACTCTTAGACTAAAATCATCCAGTTCCAACTCTTGCTCCGACTCGATTCGCGGTACATAATTGAGCTGGGCCTGTAACTGCGGCAGGTGGTCCTATGAGACGCACGGGGATGAGGACGAGCCTTTAGGTTTTTTAGAGGTATGAGGAACAGGGTGGAAAGTTCCTCATCCTCCATTGAAAAGGGAGGATCCTCCGACCAGGCGAGGTGTTCGTGCCTGGTGGGCTACTGCCCGACTGTTGTTGTCGGGATTTTTCTATTGTGCTATTTAGCGCGTTAACTTCACTTGCGCGATGTAGAATCTTGCACGTGATTGGTGCTGTTGTTATGGTTGTGCGATAGATGTCGCTACACCACTCCCCTCCGAGACCGGAGGTCGTTAGCAGGTTGAGTCGTCTGAATGTCTTGTCTTGTCGAGCCAGTTGATGGTTCCAGTGCGTCGGAACCGCTGCCGCATAGTTCACGGTGAGTCGGAACTGTAATTCGTGTACAGTCAAAACCGTGTTTCACAATATGATACATTACATTGTGAGTCTATCACAATTTTGAATATAGAACGTAATTTGTATGAACTACTTATATGTTAACTTCATTATCACTGCATAGTATAAAACAAAATCGCTTTCTATGTCCCTATATCCCTACAATAAGCTTAAACTTTTAAATCTACGCAACCTATTTTGAAGGTTTTTTTAACAGATAGAGTAATTGAAGAATATAGTTTACTTATTAGTATCATAACATCCATTTGTCGGCGGGTCGCTAGTGTAGGTACCTATTATAAATAATAAATTTATGCCACATATGTTTTTCTATAAGGTAGTTCTAAGAAGCTGTTGACAGGATGGTATCTGATATTTGGATCTAAGTATCTTCAGCGATTTAGGATAAACCTGGGTTACCTATTAAGTATATTGTGTCGTTAACCAACTTTACTATTTTCGATGATAAGTGATGAATGTAGTTCCATTTATTTATTAATTAAAATAACCGACCCGTGCCTTTTCTAAAGCGACTGCAAAATGAAATAATACGAATTTCTGTGTACGCCACTGCTGACGATCCGTATTCACGAGTTCCGAGAATTAATCCCGGCCAAATTAACGTTTCGTTGTAAATATCAATTATTATTACATTCACAAATAAGTACATATTATATTATTGGAATCGCTAAACTAGTATGCGTCCGAATGCAAAAGTAAATAAATATTTTTTTAATAACAAGTGGTTTATTCAAAGTAAAACTAATTGGAATAGACACAAAAGGAAATCTATAGATACATAATTAGATATATAAATGGAATGCATATAAAGTACATCAATATATATTGACTAATAATATATTTAAGTACTAATAGATACCTGGTTAATATACGAATTCGATTTTAAATAAAAGATTTCGCTAATTAATGTATTGTAATTTATTTTGAGGTCGTCTTGTTTAGATTGCGTGACAATTAACGCCATCTCTATTTATAAAATCTAAATCTACTTCCAAATTCGAACTAGAATCACTGCTAAGTAACGATAAAATAATCGATACTCACAAATTAAATTAGCTAGTGTGAGCAATTGATATTATAAATATTTATAATAGAATTAATGTAAGTAATACTTATTTTATTTTAATATTTATAAGAAAAACATAAAGCGGAAGACAGTCGACTAGGTAGGTACCTACATAGATAGATACTTTACAATTATAACGATAAATTAGAAATAGCGTAAAAGTCAATAATAAAATTGCGTCTGGATGCAAAACAAAAGGATTGTATGATAACCTTTGGTCTGTGTGAATTCGTGCGTGCTCACGCAACCGTGCGGCCGCTGTGAACGTCTTGGGGCAAGCTGTGCATGCGAAGGGTTTCTCGCCAGTGTGGGTCCTACGATGGTCGTCGCGCTCCACCTGCCACCGACACCATTCCACATACATTATCATATGGAAAAAATACTGGGAACTATCCCCGTCCAGCCCATAGTAAATAGCGCGTGCAATGAGCTTTTTTTGCGATTACCCAGTATTTGTGTTGACTTATTCGTATAGGTATAACTTCACTTGTTTTAGTAACTTTATTATGTAAGTTACCGGAGTATTCACGCGTTGCTTTGGCTTCCTTATAAGATTGTTGTTAGGTGTAGTATTGAAATCTATTCTCGCCAAGAAGTTGAGAGTTCAGAAGGTGGTAGACAGTACCTATGCTGTGTAACATATTTCATAGTATAATATGGCGCTCTTCTTGCAGCACCTTTGTAAAAACTTGATAAAACCTCATAAGGCTTTCCATCCATGAGAGTAAATATGGCGAATAATACTACCTATTAGCATTATTCGCCTAAAAAAGCTTCCCCGAATCAAACGGTAGATACTTATAGGTTAGTATTGTTAAGTCTACCTTGACTTTAAAAGCTTTTGGACAAAGATCACAGGGGTAGGGTCGTTCTCCAGTGTGCATCCTCATATGGATGGCCAGATGTCCCGATTGGTTGAATCGTCTCCCGCAGACACGGCAAGGGTAACCCTAGAAGAAAGTTATTTGAAATAGATAGAATAGATAGTGTGAGCGACATTTTTGGTGTTGCAAACTTTCATACTTATAAGTACCTATTTCTATAGGCTACGGTAATTGCTGCAGTAAGGTTTTTTGGTGAACAATCACGTAATTCTGCATGGGATCTGCAGCTGAACGTAGGCTGTACCCTAGATAAACCTGAGAATCCGAAATCACATACATCAGCTACCTATATAGATAACTCGATCATATCATATCACCCTCAAAGTAATTTAATTTAATTTTAAGACTGTTTATTTCATTAATTATTCACTAGAAGTAATTACAATAAATCACATAGTAACAGCGCTCAATCTTTTGCGTAGATGTAGGTAACTGTTTTGTCTCTAATTTGTAACCTATCTAAACATACCTATCACGTCATTGGTTTTGTCATGGCATTGTAGAAAAAAACGTAAATTCGAAAATATTCCTTGGTATATAGGTAGTATAGTATATTGCTAATCATAGTTACTTTCATTGATTTCACATACAAATCAGAGTGGAACAAGAACAACAATATAGGGAAAATGACGCTGCCAAGCGGGTAAGTTGTATAACTTACTGGTTTAGTGACTTTGTGCATTTTCTTGTGTGTATGCAACGCGCACATGCTGCCCAGCACTTTGTCGCATTCCTCGCATACGTAGGCCATCAGTGGAGCGCCAGGGGGACGGTCCTCCCCACGCTTGTGGCGGTACAGCTCTCTACAACAACGATTTTTGTGTATGGCTACATTATGTTAAAAAAACTTCGACATATGACCTTACACTTGTTAATCATAGACTATCAAATGAAAGATAGGTTTTCTATAACTAATCACTTAGGTATATACCTAAGTATTAACATAAAGTCTTTTTATTTAGACAGTAGGGAGAGGCCGAGGTGAGCCGGGGTTGCGGATCAAGCGCAATAAGGTTCCGCAGTATCGGCCAGGAGCGGGAGAAGGAAAGGGGTAAGGGGTATTTTTAGTCAGTAGGTAAGTCTGACACTAACTCTCGCCACCAGGCGAAAAGCGCCCTCTTCAATAAAAAAGGAAGAGGTGGGAGTGATACCCATTCTATTTCCATATGCTCAAAGCTCTAAGAACGGCTGTATCTACCTGGCAGATACTAGCTAGGTACCACTTAACCAGTCATTAAAGGAATTAATTTGGAACAATTCAAAATGTAAGCTAATGTTCAATGTTAAAAAGCATGACGACAATATTTTTCCTTCGTAACTTTTACTTACGCGCCAACTAACGCCATCTGTTGTATTTAAAGTAAAACTCATGCGTTATTTTCTTTGTTTGGTACATTTTGTAATTTCTTTACAAAATTGGATACATAAAATGCTCATATTTTAATTTTGTGTGAAAAAAAAACCAATTAATTATCATAGTGTTCTGTTATTACCTGGCAGTTGCGAAAAGTTGGTTGCAAGAACCACAGTTCCACATTTTGGTGTTACCGCTGTTCGTGTAGCTTCGTCGTGATGCTCTTGGCTTATGACACTCCAATGAATGGGCCTTCAGATCCTCGGTAGACCCATACTGCTTGCCACAGATATCACACGCATAACACACTATGGGGCCATGGGCAGTTGTATCCAAGTTGCAGTTATCCTATAAAAACAAAATTGACAATTCTTTTATTTAAAAAAAAATCGGTAAGTGGGACTCACGTTATAATTATTGTCTTGAAGTGTTATCTAATATTAATAATAATATATCCGCAAGGCAGCTTGTGGCGAGCTGTTGGGCAGTGGTGACCCCACGGACCTGACTCCCGGGAGGTGTCTTGTTCTTCTCTCTCCGGTTAGTCCTCGTGACAAGCTGGAGTGAACACTGATGAAGAACAAGCCCTTCTACCTCATTCTTGCCTTAATTGGCTGGCTTGAGTGGAGATTCGCAAGAGTAGGAGTTGAAGGAGACTCGGGGGAAGGATGTATCTCAGTAAGGTGCTGGTAGGGGTCTTGACCGTACTTCCGGGATTGCTCTGATAGCCGTGGGATGCCTCTCCTTCCCCAAGCAGCTCAACGTATGTTGCCTCCGTGTCGCTACATGCTAGCGGCCGTTTCCGGGGGCCCATTGATTGAGTTTGCCAGTCACCCCCTGCCTGTTTATCCGTATGTATCAATATTGGTCAGGGGCAGGGGCCATAGTATTTCCATAGTTATCATATCAGGAATTTCAAGATTTTTGAATTCGAGACTCCATTGGCGTTCGAGATGAAAAAATAAATAAAACTAGTGCTACAATTTTTGCGGGCGACGTCCGACCGAACAGGACTGTTAAGCATAATTTCAATTACCTACATTACCACTTACATTTTGATCCTCATAGTAATGATTCTGATCTTCAATGAAGCAGGTGAGTCGATGTTTGTCGAGAGCGTCTCCATCAGCGAAGAGACCGCTACAGAAATCGCAAACATACATGGTATACAGCTTGCGAGATGCCACGTTACCCTTACCATCAGAGGAGATGCAGCATAGTTGTTCTAAAAAGATTGAATTACTTATTTAAGAGCTGATTTTTCAATAGATTTTTTTCCTCAGATAAATGTTATCTGAGGAAGAAAATTGTTGCTGTCACGGTCTTATACAAACATTCTGACGCGACAGCATCATAATTATTCTCCAGGTAACTTTTAAATCCCGAAAATCAGTTGAATAAATAAGTTGGTTACGAAAAATGTATTGGCTCTGTCGCCGGGTAACCAACTGCTATACAAAGTGTTTCGGTTTCGATACCGGCACCGAAAAACTATAAAAATAATTGATAAAAGAGCACTATTACAGTCCGAAACTCTCAAGAAAAGAGCGAAATTCGTTTTAGACGCTGGCAACGCATTTGTTACTCCTTTGAAGTGTTGGTGTGGCCATGGGAGAGTTGATCGCTTATTATCAGATGATCCGTATGCTTGTTTCCCTCATAAGTTATATATTTATAGAAAATATAATAAGTAGATACACATAAGATTCCTACTTTAGTATTCTTACTTCATTCAAAACTTTACGTCATGTAAAACAAAACTCGAATTCCTTTGGGTTCTAAATCTGTCCTCGCTAAACACACAATGAACTTCTATTTTTAGAAATGTGCGTAAATCCTTTATTATTTAAAAATAAAACAATACGTAATGTAATCCCTGTTAACTTTACCCGTGGGTTCAACTTCCAGAGCGGTCGATAGCACACGTTCACACATTCGGCACACGAGCCACTCTGTCTCAAAGTTTTCATTGTTTTGAGTGGGACCTAAAAGAAAAAGAGTGTTCGGCGCATTATTTTTTAAGTACCTACGATAAAAACTTATTGGTAACGCGTTAGAGTTTTTTTTTATTTTTTTTAGGAGTACATTTCATCAAAGGTGGACAGTTTGGGGACCTGCAAACCGTTAGAGGTGGTGGGAGTGACGAACTATCACGAACGACGCCTCTGTTGGCATCAAGAGGTTTCCCCAACAGGTAATAATGATTCTGTTAATAGGCATAACATACTTAAAGATAACCAAACCTTGAACATTTTTGGTTTCAATTCTGTCATGATCTGTTGTAGTTAGCAAGGTATTTTCAAGCTGCTCTACGGAATTATCAGAAGTGTGGAGCGATATAGTGTGGTCCAGAAGATCGGCTTCAGTTGTAAATATCTCATGACAGATTACACAAGAATGCAGAGCTAGCAAGTCCGGCCCGGTGCTTTCACTTGTCTGCAATGAATTTAGCGGAAGTTAGTAAATAATTTCTTTTCCCATTAGCCAGATTTTTCATTTGTATCGATCACTAACTGACGTAACCTAAGTATCAACTTTCCTAGAAATTTTATTAGTTCTAAACATACTACCTACTGACTATCACTTCTACAATAATGTTTATGACAATAAACCTGATTATTCTCTGAAGATTCCGGCAAAGGCAATAAAAATTGATTTACAGTATTTTCATCAAGTAATGTTGGTTCGTAATTAAACATGTTATCCGACTGTACAATGTACAATTCTGTATTTTGTACCATGTTCAAATTATTCTCTTGAAAGAAGGAAGAATTTTCTATATTGAAATATCTTCCGGAATCGTTTGAATGAAATGTTAAAGGATTTTCCACGGAGTTCATTATTGTTACGTCTTGTGAATTTTTATTACCACTTGAAAGTATTTCATTAGAATCGGTAACATTAGTAAACAGCAAGTCGTCTGGATCATAACTTTCTGATAATTCTTTGTATGGATAATCGGGTGGATCAAACATCATATTTATAACTGAAACAGGAAATTATTAGAACACGTATTATAAATTAGCTTCAAATCTAAAATGCATAAAACGAAGAGTTTTTAAATAAAATTAACAAACTTTTAGTCTTTTGAGAATTTTATATAACTGTTGGTAAAGTGTATAAATAGTATTGTATAATCCTGTTGTGGTTCTCCTGACTTTCAACAAGTTAACAAGAAGCAAGAATTATATTATCGCTTCGTTCAAAAATCACTGTATTTTTTCAGGATGGCAGCATTTGTCTTGACATTTTGACATTTATGCACAGTTGCCAAAGTGCCGGTTGCTAAGTCACTTGTCAGTCAGTTGGTGTTGGTAAAGTTATTTTGTCATATTTTGTTTACAGTCGTGTTAACAGTCTTCCTTTAACAAATTGTGTGGTATAAAATAGTGGTTAAGATGAAAGCAGAAACCGCACCACCTTCTGATAAACCTAAAATACCGTTACCGACGCTTTCTCAGATCAATGCTGATCGAATTACTCAAGTAAGTTAGGTTATGCATTTCATAACATTGGATAATTAATAAAGAAAATCAACAGTCAATTGATTAAAGTTATTGTTAAACGTCGACGTACATGTACTTGATCCTATAAATAGTTTTAAATATAGTACAAATACATTATATGATTTTGTTTTGTAGAAAAAAATGTCAACCTATCTCTACTGTAGGCTACAATAATATGATTCACCAATTAGAATTATTATAAATTCACAAAAAATCTGTCTTCTGCCCTCACGACCATCGTCTGCACTGTACTATTAGTAAATTAAATATTTGCAAATTGAAAATTAGGTTATGTTTTATCCCACCTATAGAAAACCTTTTGTGACTCATGAAAAGGAAACTTCCCGCCAATTTTATCTTTTTTAAGCCTATTCACTAATCCGGTTTCGGATCTGTACTGAATACTGAAAACAGCAAACAAATACAACTGTAAACATTTTTTGTGTCCATCAAAGGATATATGATTAACCATTCAACAGCACATTAAGATTACTTTACTTTATTTCAACACAATAAAGATTACTTTACTTTCAATCGTGATAATTCAAGACACAATAGAAGAACAGTAGGTATGCAAATGCTGGAGTTCGCTTGGTGTTTGAAGAATTAATCACCTTAAAACAATATAAAAGAATAGACATAGGTATACACTCTTAAAACTTGAGATGTTAAACTAAAATATTGACCGATAGATCAATACTACACTTTTAAAATGTGTACCATATTTAAATGAATGGTATTGTAAAACACTATTGAAAAACTCAAATATTAACATATTATAAATATATTGTAAGAACATCTGCCATAGGTACTCAAAGACATTTAACCAAAACTTTAACTAATTCTTTACGAATGCTGTATCAGCTATTTATGTAAACTTTGTTAATAAATGAAACTGTATGAAATACCTTACTAATTCAATTTCTTGAATTATAAAGTTGGATATGTAAAATACTAGATGGAAAAATCAACAATATTTGTAATTGTTAATTATGCACAAACATCCTATTCCTTCCTAAAATACTAAAATTGGGGATGCTGTGTGAAAATAGGTGTACATCATAAAAACATTAATATTACATCACAAAACAAACAATCAGAGCTGACTTGCTAGTAAAAGTATGCAGCAGTCGCTTGTCTTAACATTTATTGTACAGTATTACAGATGTAAATTAATTTGTGCTAAAATTTAATAACTTCTTATAATTGAAAGTTAAATTCCAATTTACTAGAAAAATTGTTCAAATTAACCTCAGTGTTAGGATACTATTAGGATATCTGCAACATACAATTTATGTGTGGGAATATTCATTTTACATACAGCTAAACAAATCTGAGTGTAAATCAAATAATGGATGACTTCCATGAAACATCTAGGCAGTCATGTTTATACATAATTTGATAATTTTAATTTACAATGAGCCTACTGGTATTGCATTATGTAGAAGGGCAAGATACAAATCTATATAACTATCCTCATGGAATTGTTTTACAAATCAACATGGTTGCATTGTTCACAGCTTGCTAATCAGTACTGGTCACCACAAACTAAGGAGAGTCACTTACCTTATGATGCTTCTATTGTGGAGTCAATCTACCAAGCAGAAATACTTGGATCCCAGTAAGTTATTATAAAATTATTAAATATTTTATATTTTACTTAACAATTTCTTTAACTTTATTTCAACTCTCACTTCTAAGCCCAAGTGATTTAAACAAATGAACTATTTTAGGGGTCAACAGCCTTATAGAGTGCAATGACCCATTTCTTTTTTTCCAAAAAACACCAGTTATTTTAAAATCTTGTGCAGTGTTTCCACATTTTATATTTTGTGTTGAAACTGTTTTAAAATACGCCGTTATTTTTAAATTAATTATTAATTACGTGTTTAATATTTTCTTTAAATAGATTTTTGTTTGTCTAAAACTTAAAATATTTATATATATTTGGAAAAGTTTTGTAGTGATTAAAGTCGACATGTTTAGTGTAAGTACTTTTCTTGGACTAAACTTTATGGAGAAAGTTAAGTGGAAATAATCAATCATTCGTTTTTATATTTACAAGTTTACTTAAACGCTTCTTGATTTTTTTAATGATAAAATTAAATAGAATTGAATTTGTGATTTCATTTATTTTTAATCCATTCAAATAATTATATTCATGTAGGTATATTAAATGCAAGTAGTTGTAATCTATAAATTAAACATTGCTCAAAGTCAGGAATGGAAAAGCCCATTAGATTACCGAAATATCGCCAGGAACGCGCGTGTAAACCCCTGATAATTTTAGTTAAATTATCTGGGGTTTACATGCGCGTTCCGACCGACAACAGAACGATGATGACGATACTAAAACATATTATTTCTCGTTACTTCCAGTTTCTCAGTTCGCCGGATCATGATGCTAGAGTTCTCCCAGTACTTGGAGAACTATCTATGGCCTCATTACAAGGCAGGCGAGGCGTCCCCAGCGCACATGATGTCCATCATCGTCATGATCAACGAGAAGTTCCGCGAACGTGTGCCCGCTTGGCAGGTCAGTGATGTCTTTGAGTATCAGTTTATAAAGGAGTGATAACTTAGTGTCAAGGCCAGTAGAAGTTTTATTTAAAGTTAGGCTTGTAGTCCTGCAGTCCAGTGTAGATAGTCCATAGAGAATAGTATAGATCCGTCAGCGCTGACTAGCCTAGTGTAGTGTCATTATCATCATCAGCCCATAAGTGCCCACTGCTGAGCAACGACCTCTTCTCATGCGGAGAACGTTTGAGCATTAATCACCATGCTTGCTCAATGCGGGTTGGTCATTTCAAACTTATAATTAGAAATTATAAGTCCAGGTTTCCTTACGATGTTTACCGTCACCGTATGTCAGTGGTGTCTAAATAATCATAGAAAGTACATATAACTCGGAAAAAGTCACATTGGTACTTGCAAGGTTTTGAACCTCCGGGCCACCACGACCGTACCTATGTACTACATAGATATTGAATCAAGTGCGTAGATTGTTCGCGATCGTCGGGACAGGTAAACCAGCCGTGCTTGAACATGAGTTGCTTGCTTGTCATTATAACATTCAACTGTTCATATTTCAATTCATACAATCAAATAATGTACCTACAAAAGGTCTTCGATAAAAAATCTATTAGTCCAAGAATTTATCAACATACCATATAACGACGAATATAAAAAATAAATCGAAACTTAAACACATCTCTTCTCTTCTTTCAGGCCTTTCTGAAGAAGCCGGAGCATTTCCCAGCGTTCTTCGAGCAAGTCCTGCGCGCCAGTGTGGAAGATGATCAGACGACTAGCAACATGCGCGAACAGACAGCTCTGTTGCTATTCTTGAACCATTGCTTCGGTAGTATGGAGGTGCAACTGTGCCGAGACCAGGTGAAGAGGCTGGTCTCGCTTAGTATGTGGATCAGCTTACAAGAAGGTATGTTTGATTCATGCTTACCATATTCATTAGCGCCAAATATTGATTTTGTTACAATACGGTAGTTTCCAACTAGTCAATTTCAATACTTTTATCCAAATGTTAAAAACGATACTTTCCTACGAACGAACGAAATTCCTAATTATGACGTCATAGTGTTAGCGCCAAATAGCTTACTTATTTCTGAACAATTAAAAAAAAATATCGAAGATTTTGTGTATCGACAGATCGATGAATAAAACTATAGTTATTTTTCAATATTATATTGTATTGTATTGAAACGTCGAATTAATTTATTTTTGACCTAGGAAACTACCTAATTGACATAATACGATAGTAGTACGAATAGGTCAGCTCGACCGGAGTGATATCACGGCCTCACAACACAATAAATCGGCGTGAAACAATCACAGCGTTGTGTTGCGCCGTGTGGTGTGTTACCGGAGATCAAATCCTTCCCTTCCCTCAATCCCTAATTTCCAAAAGGTCGGCAACGCACTCGTAACTCCTCCGTTGTTTCGGGTGTCCATTCCATAGGCAGCGCTGATTGCTTACCATCAGGTAATCCGTCTGCTAGTTTTCCGTCCAATAATAACGACTAAAGAAAAGTTTTATCGAAACTTATGAAAGTAACACTTACTGTACGTCTTCTTTATATCTCGCAGTTTAAAAAAAATCCGCACATTTCATATAATTATAACTTGAATATTTCAATCACAAACTTTTTACATTGAACCTCATCCTACTGTAAACTTACTGGCTGCCGACACAACAGACGATATTTTTTTATTCATATTTAAATTGAGAACACATGCCACTATTCACGTAATTTTGGCGCCACAAACTTTTGATACAATTGTGTCTGACGTCGAGTTAAAATTTTGTTTTATCTATATCAAAAAGATGCTTAAGTAATCATATTTTAAGAAAAGATGTAGGTAAACCAATAAATATTTTTTTCATTTTTAGGTCGAAGAAATCAAGAATTTAAAATGGTGCCAAAATGGCGGAAGTATTGGCGCGCTATTCAAAAGAAGGATAAACCTGAACTGTTGGATAAACTCAACTGGGAGCGACTTTACCTGCAGAGGCTGATGATTAAGTTCATGCGAATACTTGAGGCTATTCCTGAAGATGGAGATATTGATGCTCACGCTGTGAGGTGAGGGTTTTTAGTGATGTACTAAATTATGACACCTTTATATGCATACACAAAAATTGATCGATAAATTTACTGGGTTACCAAGTTTTGTCCATTAAGGTTGCAAACAAGCTTCCAACCTTCCTACTGGAATGGGATCACTGTTGCCGAATAGACAACAGAAAATTGGAAACACTATAGTAATATGATACTACCGATATTTTAGGTTACAGGCTTAAATCACAGACTAAAGTAAAAGATTAAGAACTGAAAAGAATACTAAAATCAATGTTAAATGTATTTCATAAGCAGTTATTTATCGTAATAGTTTTGCTGTAAAAACATTTCTGCTAAACTCCCTCTCCATAGTTGTAATAATAATGACTGCGACGATAATACCTAAATGGGTTTATAAGGATCATCATTTTTAATAAGACAGAATTTTCGATCGTAATTTAACCTTCTTTGAACAACCGGGGTTGTGTAGCATGTGCAATAAAGTACATTGGCCTTGGCCTAGAACAGGAGAATAAACGAGGAGTTTTAAGTCAGTAAGAATGACACTCCCTCGAGCCACACCCTGGACGTTAGAAAGCAATGGATGATTTTCCCTTCAAAAAAACCTTTGAACAAAATATAATCAAATGTAATATTTTTTCTAGATACTGTGAACGATTCTTGGAGCTGATGATAGACTTAGAAGCTCTGCTGCCGACACGGAGATTCTTCAACACAGTAATGGACGATTGTCACTTGGTGGTTCGCAGCCAGATGGCACCACTTACACGCAGACCTGAAGGACAACTGTTCTGCCAAGTAAGTGAACATTTTGCTTTAAAACTTTAACTCAGAAATGTAAATGTTATCTTATTGATGTTTTAAATCGGTAAAAAATTAAAACTGATTCAGTAGATAAAGTGTCCATTGGATGGCTACTAAACCGATTTATAGTCGAAAATAAATACCTATGTCCGATTTCGATTTCTATGTCCGATTAGAGTTCAAAATTAGAATGTGTTCTATCTTCCATTTTGTAAAAATAAGTATAAAAAAATACGATTTAGTATAACACAACACCCACTCTCTCGGAACTGTGTCAATTTTTATTTCCATATACCAAATAGGTAACTTTGCTAAGTTTTATCTAAAGATGAGGCTTTAAATAAGGTTAAATTAACCACTGTATAACTGTTAAAACATTTCTGAGTTAAAGTATGCATGAAACTGCCTCCTTTTTTATTTCTGCTTATAAATAACTGAAGTGCTATTTTACGTAACGTTCCCGCGATTGCATAGGTTAGTAATCAATTTCACATTCTTTCGTGTAGTATCTTCATTTACAAAATAAAAAATTGCTGTTAATATTTTGAATATTACTGTTTGACAGTTGAAATCTCTGACAATCACTAGGTACGGGAAATAATACACTCACGTGTCTTAGCCGTGTTTATTAAAGTAAATCAAAAATGAATTACAAAATATTTTTAAATGCGTTTTGTCATCGTATAGTTTCGAGTAAAATAAAGTCAAAGTAAATATATAGAAGATATAAAATGACATATTTATTTTTATTAGTGCAAAAGCGCAACTGATACATACATATCTATGTATATAAATTCACTAACCAACTACAGCTGCTTAATACAGAAAAAGGACGGACATATTTTGAAAATAGAGATAGAATAAAATAGGCACGTTTTAGTTGTTTGTTCCAACATCGATGAGATTCTTAATCAACATACTATGTTACTTTTGTCGCATATGACAATAATATCATTTTGTTAGTGTTAGTAATTTTAATTTTGGTTAATTTCCTAAACGAATTTAAGTATCTTTTGTGAGCAATCAATTCCTTATGACGAGAGATCATCCCAAGTATTAGTTAATAACTTACACATTTTAAAACAACTTTTCCTAAATTCTTAACTCCAATAAGTTTGTATATTCTGCTGCCAAAACTATAAGTTAACTGGTATACTGTTTCTAAGACACTCTGTTTCGATACACATGAAAATCACAGTTAGTTAAAATACTATTAATAATACAGAGAGGCATTGAAATACAGGGAAACAATCTTAAATACTAAATTGGTTTTTCTAATACATCGTATGAGGCACATATACAAGGCACACGCATTTGTACACAGATTATGTATAACTGTGAAACTTGAGAGTATAATATTTTACAGTATAACTTATCCATACATCTAACATAGCTCGTTTTCATTACATTTAAATATGTCACATTCATACAGATCGTGCCTCTACTGTGAAGCTAATGTTTGTTGGCTTTTAAATCTATTCATGAGATTCTAATTGATATACAGTGATATGTCAGTAATTCCCTCCGTTCATGTGAGTCATCTCGTCTCCCCACTCCCCCGTAGGCACAGGCTCCGCATAGCAACAACTCTTGCGCAACAAAAACGTTACATGCGACTGTCGTACTATGCACACATAGAATATTAAAATTGCTTGGAATAGATTCACAAAGATGTGTGCGTATAACAATTCGTCGATGTTCAGCCAGGATAACAATAAGAATAGCCACGCGGTCGTCATTATGAGGAATAGTTGAAGGAATAAATTAAAGCTGAAACAAAAGACAAAAAATCTTTAAAATATAACCTATTGTAGCATAGATCAAAGCTGAATTTTATTGTACATTCAATAAGAAGAAAGAAAAACCATTTATTTCACACACAAATGACGCAAGAAACACACACACACGATTATAGTTAAAAAGGGACAAAACAAGCAATGAACATAAAAAAAAAGAAAAGCACTACAATTGCGTCACTCATGCGTGAAAAAGGGCAGCGCTCAGCATAAATGCTGTGTCGCGCACGCAGGCACGATACAACAGCGCTGGTTTTCAGCACTGACCCTCCACGCGTCCTTGCCTCGGAATAATATGTGAATATAACATTATTCACAATGAAATTTTGTGCCAAAGCAGCTTTGATTATTTCATTTTAGCATTTGAACTGTAATATCATGCAAATAATTAACTTACCATCCTTTGAGTTTATGATGTATCCTTCCATAAATGTTAATTCTCTTTATAATCTTCAAAGTCGTAACATAAAAGAATACATTAAAAATTATGGTAAACGCAACTGGCGTGAAGAATATCGCGATACCGAGTAACCCTGAAATGAAAAAAGAATATGCTTTAGTATGAATTATATGACAAGTTGGGAACATCAATTTTCGTGAATAACAATGAAAATAAAGTATTTTACCCATATGAGAACTCATATGTAACTAATTTTAATGTGAATCAGAAACAAAATAATTTTCTAATTACCAACTTTTTATAAATAGGCAATTGGGTAGTTTCCAAAATATTGAACTTATACTTAACTAATATATAACTATACTTTTACAATCGATCCATCGATACACTAAATTTTTAATATTTTTAGTTAATTTTTAAGAAAGAAGTACTTAAGCTATTTGACGCAAAAATACTATAACTTCATAACACAGTGTTTCATACAAATTTAATAGGAAAGTATCGCTTTTGAAATTTAGTTAAAAGTATTGAGTTTGACTAGTTTGAAACTACCGTATTCATTGACCCATTATAAATAAAAGTTTTATGAGATTGAATAAAAAGATAGGATCTTACCAATAGTTTCCTGTTCAACATCGTCAATGATGATTGACGAAGAGAACTGGATCCTTGTCTTTCTGTTAGGATTGGTGCCAGTGTCGAGGAGAAAATGTGCGCATATTGCCATAACAGCCATTACTAAAACACTGAACCATACCACGCTCGAGTAATAACAGTATTTGCGCACATCTGTCACGCGCAGGAACACGTTGCGAGACCTATAAAAACAATTTTTTATTCAATATTATCAACACACTTTATAATAGTTTGTGATAAATAGCATAATAGGTAATTTTTTTGGCATAGATCCTATGTGATCATGCAGAAGGGAAGCTAGTGTCTTTTAGGATATTTTCAAATACTTTGCTATTCAAATACTTTCATTCTTTGCTATTAACCTGACATTCTTCAGACTTTTAGTTTTATTTACGATTTGTACCAAAATCTGAGGACAATAAATACTAACAATTCTGTCTTTTAAATAACAAAGCTTTCTTTAGTCTTACTTATTAAATGATTCATTAAATATGGTGGTTGTAGAGACATAAAAATATAAAATACATACTTAAAAGTTTTCCACACATAAAATCCGAAACTGTTGAGCCAAAAGAATGCTGCAAGTAGACTGATATACAGGATGATATCTGAAAATATGATGATTTTATCAATTTAGTCTATATATAGCAGAACATAATGTTTTAAATCTATTGAATAATATCATTACATACCGGTGACCATGAAGCTCACATGGTTGCTGAACTCTGTGAATATTCTTACTAAATCTGCTGCTTGACTGACTATCAAACACATGTTTATGGTTGTGATTATATTACCAGCCAAATCTCTTAGTGTTGGCAACACAAAGTATATTACTGCTACCAGTAGGTATAATATCATTGCAATAGCATGGAACATTGGATTGATAATCTTCTTCATCAAAAAATTGGTGTCTCTCCAGTTAATTTTGACCTCTGGCACGCATACTAAAGCGTAAGTGCCCGTTATGTTAACTCCTTTCTTTGTTTGCGTGTCTTTTTGTGTGAGTAATATCTGAAAGTAAGCATGGTTCAATTATAGTAAGTTTTGAACAAAGATACTTACAGTTTGCTGAACCGTAATACCTTATTTTCAATAGTTACATTTGTTACTATTTACCTAGTGAAATACTTAAACAAGCCATTCATATTGTTCATGAAAAGTTCACAAAACATTTAACATATGGGTATTTAGAAGGACGATGATATGATAGGAATCTAAACATACATTAGTAGGTATTTATATAAACCTGTCCCATAGAAAAAAGTATCATTGAACTGTTTTTTTGCATACACTGTGAGTGACCCAGAGAATGACTCAGATATGAACAAGCTTAAACAAAATGAAATGTATTTTTTTTTCTGTTACTGATAATGGAGGTAGTTGAAAGTTATCTAAGACCAGGTCAAGAAGTCAGAATAAAAAGATAGATTAAAAATATTTTACAATTATTTGATTAAATGTTTGGCAGTTCTATTGAGAGTTCGAAGACTAAAAGCCAAAGTATTTATTTAATTAAAGCTATCAAGATGTATAGGCTATTTGCAATGATCAAGGACTTCTTCATTCAGTTAAATATAGTTAATTCTTCAAACACAACCAAGTAATTTTTTATTGGGAGAAAAAACATTTTAAATAATCTGTAATTTGATAACATTTTTATACATATTCTATGCAAAAGCAAGGAATATAAATTTAGCTACTTCAAAGTTTGGAATTATTGTTGACATATCTTTATAAATTATGAAGATTATTGAGTATCTCACATTCAGCTCATCAGTAATTTACCCTTGTATAGTAGTACTATACTAACCTTATCCATACAATATTTGGCTTGATTATGTATATAAGATGATGGTTCTTTCACTTCTGGTATTGATATACTGTCATGTAAGTTGAAATTGCTTAACACTGGGTCTTCTTTAACATCAGAGCTTGGTGTATGGTTAATAACGTGTTGTAGTCGGCCGTCAGTTAATAAATTAAGCCTGTAAAAGGGTTGATTAAGTGTTGTATTAAATTTAAAATATGTTTACTATATTACCGTTAATGCAAATTTGAGGAATTATAGGTGTCTTCTGATTTTTCTGTATTGATTTAAATCTGTGCATTTGTATGGTTTATAATGAATGTAACTGTCTCTGCGATCTCTAAGATATTAGGGTAGGTACAAACAACCAGTTTAAATAGTATGATGCACTAAAAACAGTTACGTACTTGTCCTCGGATTTGTCAAAATCAAATATAGCTCTCTGTTGTGTGGTGGCACAGTCGGGCACACCAAATACATAATTATAATATTTTACTTTGGCGTCATTGCCATCTTCAGTCTTAAATTGTGGTGTCCATAAACCTGTAAATTTAGATAATAACTTTTTTATTAAAAAAGTTAAACTATAATCATTTGTACCTTAGTATCACTCAAAAGTATGTCGCTATAAAAAATAAACAAAGCCGCAAATTGTATTGTGAAACATAACAAAAAAGGTTAGCTTTTTGTTACAAGCAAATTATTGTGCACTGAAATGTTTCCAGGTAGAAAATGATGATGAAGGTATTGTTTTGTGTTTAGGCATTTCTTAATCCATTATTTGTATTTACTCACTCTGGTTGTATCTCTCGGCTAGTCTACATACTCCGTCCACAACAATCTCGTTATGTTCGCAGCATTTATTTATCTTAACTCCATTCTGTTTGTCCGAGAGTTCGTTCAGATCTGTATCCCCGACTTCCGCGTGTAGTTGATGCGGTGCACACAGTAATGACAATGTTAACAGTGCTGCATACATGTTGTTATTGACTCTTTATTACTTTCATCACAAGGTACTTGTCGCCTTTATCGACACTTTGTTTGTCATACAATAAGGCACTTACAGTTAATTCTATGATTACAGACACAACACATATTAGAACCATATATTACTATGTCACAAGACGTTGCTCTCTTATGTTTTTAATTAATATTTAAAACTTTATTCTTTGGATTTTAAGTCGGAGCTTGTGAAGTCGGTTCGTTTGCGTTTCCGTTCGCTGCTTGCGAAGTTTGACGTTTGATTGAAATGTTTAGTCCGACTTTTTCTTAACCAGCGTTAGTTATTGTACACTTGGCACCTTGGTTTTTGAGACAAACAGTAGATGCATGGTTTCGTGTACCCACTTGCGAGTTTTGGCTTTAATTTACGAAAAGTAAATTAATATAGAAATATATTATTAAAATAAATATATTTATGTAGTAAGTCGCAATATTCCAGTTTAAATAAAAAACTTTCAAGATAATTTAATGCTACGCATTAGGCATATTTTATGTGCTTATTTCTTTTAAATAATGTTTGATGAGAGGTTAAGAAAACGCAATTTAATTGAAATAGATAGATTTATTAGAATTTTATACTATCATGCATTCTTAAATGAAAAGAAATTACAATTAATTATTCTTATATATAAATTATAGATATAGATAAATTATACTTATAGGAACCTTAAATTATCGAAATCTTACTCTATAGTATTTACATAACGTAAATTCTAGAACATTACTAAATCCTATTTATAATCTTTGTTTATTAAATACCTAATATTTGAGTTCCCTCTTTAAAATAGCTACACTATGGCACTGGTGATCCTAATAGAATAACAGCGTGTTCTAGAAAGAGTATTAGATCATGTTAAATAGGCTTTAAATATAAACCAGAAACTATTGTAAAATAAAAAAACAAAGAATAAAAATATTAAATTATACAAATTAAATTCGTAATTAATGGATACTTATCTCTTTATACAAATATAAGTACCAATTTCATTATAACTCGGTGACCTAACATTCATAACATAATTATGGATTTTTAAAAACATATTTTTGTTATATGATAACGTATCGCTGCACCTAAACCACAACTGTGAGCTCACAGTGTGATTAAATTATTAAATAATAATAATAATAATATATTCTATTGCCTCAAAAATTACTGAATAATTATCACTTCAATTCATACTTACAATATAATATTATTCGATCGGAATTTTCTATTGACTAGGTTTTAAATTAAATTAAACCCAATGAGACGTGAACAAAATACAAAATGGAGTAGCGTGCGGGAGATAAGTGCCATTTCAATTTAACCTGACCTCTACGGTATCGTCACCTAATATCTGTTGGTCGTCGGAGTCATCGTGCGGACTTAGTTTCTCCGCCAGAGGACGACTGAAGCGGGCACAGATATTCTCGTTAGCCAGCCCTCGCATTGCACGCCTTCTAAAGATGACGAGCAGTAAGAAAATGATGACTCCTTGAAGACAGTTGAACGTGTCCATTATTTTCCTGTAAATAGTATTTAATTTGTAATTAGGTCTTTGTCATGATGCGATCGGTTTACCGAGAACCTGATTAAAGGGTTATAAACTTGCCCATAACTCTAATTAGTAGTCCAATACCTAACTGTAGTAGAATATTGTGTAATTTAAATTTACCAAATAATGTGAGCTGATCCGTGAGCGAAACTGGCAATCTCGAAAATCCAGGAAATGCCCATAACCAGGAACAGCTTCAATGACAACAGGAACCTGGAAATATTAGTCGTTTGTAATTATACATGGAATTTCTTAACTACTTTTTAAAATAATTATTTAGGCTTGCAAAAACGTGGAATTTAGCGGACATTATGATCTTGAATTTATTAAGTACTAGCTACTTTCGCGCGGCTTCACCCGCTGCTCGGCTTCATTTGATCGCAGCTTGATGTTTTATAGCATATAGCACTCAGGAACATTGAAGCTATCTATCAGTGAAAGAATTTTGCCTTTATTTGCTTAAAACTGAAACTCATGGCAAAGTTAAAATTGAAATACTTACATACGAATTACTCGAAGATCATTTAAGATTTGATGTAAGGCTCGCAAATAAGTTAGAGTACAAAAGTCAATAAAAATACAAAGTACTCACTTATGCTTTAGAACGTTCAGGGTGTTGACTTCGTACTTTCGTGTCTGTCTCCACAAATTGAATGAAGTCATGGCGAATAGAACAACGTTTGCAGTTATGAGTACAGCAATCGGTCCATAGAAGAATATCCAGGTTTCCGTTCGGCCTTTAATAAAAAAATAGGATTAGATCTCAACTGAGTCGTTTGATATAAAGTCTAAACTATAGGTAGTGTGATAAAGAATACTTTTATTCAAGGTAGGTTTGAATACAGACTATTACTTTTACTGCCACCTTGCTCAATCACTTGCAAGCCCGAGAGTTTAGTTTATGGTTAAAATGTGTTATACCTAGTAAAATTATGTTCTGGTTTATAGAAATAATCCCTTCCCGATCCCTTTCGCAATCTAGAGATCCCCAACCCCAAAGCCGGTAATGCACTTGACGAATGCTAACCAACACTGTACGTTTGTTGTCCAGCTCCATAAATATGAATCTGAGTAGGATGACGAAGTCTGATAATGATCTGAGTTTGGCAATAAGTTCGTTCCCCGTAAAACAGGGCTTGTTAACGTAACTGGTAAAAAATGTGTGTTACTTTTATATACACACTTGCATATCTGCATAATTCTTCTAAATACTCGTTATAGAAAACAAAAACTATTTACCACTGAACCAGCAGCTGCCATTACCAAAACCTGGTTTGTAATGTTCCCCCTCAACGAAGTTAGCAATTAGGGTGACCGTCAGGAACAAAAGAGTGCAACCCCAAGCGTAACAGCTGTACAAGAAATACTGCTTTTTCTCAGTCTTCTTCAAATAACTTGAGTCCCTGAAACAGAATAAAGAGACAGAGTAAATAAATTATACATTAATATAGTTAAAAGTATTTGTAATCAACTAGCTTCTGCCAGCTAGAAAAGGTACCCCATGTTATTCAAGGCTATTATACTCGTATCTATCTGTATCCCATATTTGGCCAAATTCGTTCGGCAATTTTTACGTGAAAAAGTAACAAGCACACTTCCATCCATACTTTCGCGTTTATGCAAGTTCTGTTGTAAGGATCATGTCGTTACTTTACTTACAGTGCTGATCGGTAGACGTTAATACAAATGACATTCATCCAGAAGAAAGTTGCCATCATCCATGTGTAGACGAGAAATCCTGGAAGGAATAAAACAAAAGTTTTAAATAATTTGAAAGAATGCTTGCAGATAACTCGATGGCAAGCAAATCGACACCGCCCATAAACACCCACAAATAAAATGAGTTACAAGTGTGTTGTCGGCCTTTTGTGGGTTATTAGGGATTTGAATTGATTTGGTGATTAGTGAAGAGAATATAGAGTATCGTGTGCTATTGGGATGTGATTCTACTCTTGGTGGTCTGTATTTTTAACTAGCAAAACAGAGAATTGATAATAACTTGATTTTGCCTTTCATATTTTAATACAAAGAACCCCCACGATAATAATGTTATTGTCCTTAGTGGAATTAAATTCAAACATGACTTTATAACATATGTACCTCCTTACTCAGATTACACACTTACGATAACTTCACTACAGTCGATATTTTTTTAACTGATCTCAATCTAATTCATTTTCTCTAATATATTTTTTACATAAGGCTAGGTAAGGAGTTTTTGTCAAAAACTTTAATCGATCCAGGAATATTAGATTAAGATCGGTTTTTCATTTCAGCCCTGAACCGATTTTAAAAAGAAATATCTATTGTCTAGTAAACTTTAATTCTTACCTGTCACAGTACAAATCTCCCCTCTAAATCCTGGGCTTAGTTGGAGTATTCCCAATGACAAGAATCCTAAGGCCATACTGATGCACATGCACATGTAGCACAGTCCTTGAAGATCCCTGGAAACATTAGCCATGTAATTTTATTTAATTATCATCAGCTATACGCACAATGTTCGTTCAGGTTTCATAGATATCGAAAAAACATGGGCGTATTGTAATGATAAATATACTATTGATAAATACATAGTCGCTCGACTCGGCTCAAAAATTGAGTTTTCATTAATATAACTCACATATGCTTGTTTTAAGAACGCTTAGTTGAAAAATAAAATAGAAATTAATTTCATTTAGGTTTAAGTCATTCAACAAGTATGTTGAGGTTCCACAACCCTTGATAAGAATCTACAAGCATCCCGTCTCACACTTGCGTACGAGGGTGATATACCCAAGGACCCGTTAAAATCTATAGAAGCTAACTTTATTTAAAATGATAAAATTCTTACCTCAACTGAGGCAGGAAGGTATACACAGCATTGGTAGCGACAAGGAAAAATACAGAAATCAGAGTTAGTATTCCACTGGTTTCTATGTCACTCGTCTTTGAAATTTTCTCGAAACACACTATCGCCACTTTAACCGTACCCAGTGAGTGCTCGCTGTTATTCTTGTACATGTCGGCGACACAATACCTGACAAATAATTACAAATAATTAATTTTTGTGAAAATTGTTCCTTCTATTGTAACACTTAGCAGACTCATTGCCGATTGAAGCTAACATTCCGTTTTATTACTTCTGTTACTGACGTATTTATGGAGAACTTATATATATAATAATCTTGAATTGATGTATTGAAAGGATACAATACAAAAATACATATAAATATTTACTCACTCCTTAGTCATTGACAATCTCAATAATTTACGTAAGTTAAACAGAGTAGAAAACAATAAGTATCAATGAATCTAAGTTAGTCATTATCATAAGTCTATTGTGTGAGTTTTACAAAAAATAAGTGTAAGTAAAACATTTAGTTTTGATGCAGATTTTGTCCCTATTTATTTGTGTATTTTTAATCGTCAATAAAGTTAAATTGTTGGCGAGATCTTGCTAGGTATCATTGCATCATCCTGATTAGATGTAGTCATAATATAATGGAAAATATAATAGAGAGCTATGGAGAGTAAAGACTTACTGGTTAGGATCTTCAACAAAGACGAAACCGGGTGAGTCCTGAGTGGAAACTTTTGTTCCGTCTAAAATAATATCTCTAAGAACAATTCGCCCATTCGTGCAGTTGATCGCCGTCATCTTCTCCGTACCACAAAAACCCTTGGGTATTAGCATTTCTCCGTTTGGACA